CAAGTACCCAACCCTTTCTATTAGAAATAGGAACAAATTATAACCCATGAACTCATTCAAAAGATAATCATATTTGTCAGTAAATCGCCAAAAATATTCCTCCAAAATGGTAATTCACACTCAAAATAGTAGTTGTAAAAACAAGACCAAAATTTCAGATGATTAAAATTAAAAACCTTCTGACGATTTTGGCCGAAATTAAGGACTTTAAAGGACCAAAAATCGATTTAAAAAAAAGTTTGATCTTTACATTATGGTAACTTGGCGTTTTTTTGGTGAAAATTTGGCGACCAACTCTCTTACAGCAACCCTCTATTTTTTTTTTCCCGCCGCCATTTTGTCTTCTTCACGAAGTAAAGACATGTTTCTTTTCTTTTCTTTTTATCTACTGAACACTTCTTCCAAGAATCTACTAGCCGAATTACACTTATGCTAGAAATTTTATCTAACAAAACTGCTTAATCATGACAAATATTCACTGCAAAATTGGGAAAAAGTGCACAATACCATACTCCTTACGCGTTTTTCAAAATAACACATACACATAAACCATGTACACGCCGACTTATTTTTACTTAAAAAGACATCCCAGAATTGCACAAAAATGACATTGCGCACACTCTTCACTATATCCATGTACACTGCTTTTTTCTCATAAATTACAAAAATTTCACGAAAATACATGACAATTTTCTCAATCTTTAAACCCGGTAAAAAGAACATATATGAAATTACCTCATCGCAAAAAAGTATTTACCCTTTCCAAATATGAACATTTCCACATATAAAATAAATAAAATATCCAAAAACTTTTACCTCTAAATCATCTATTACATTATACACGTCACCAACGATTTCATACCGCAAGCATTACAAATACTTAGTATCAAATATTTAAATTATTTCCATACACGTTTACTTCAACTTAAACGTGTACCAAATTCCTACAAACATAAAATTCACAAAATAACTAACATTTAATTAAAATATCACTAAACCATGTACACGTCGACTTATTTTTACTTAAAAAAACATCCCAGAATTGCACAAAAATGGCATTGCGCACACTCTTCACTATATCCATGTACACTGCTTTTTTCTCATAAATTAGAAAAATTTCACGAAAATACATGACAATTTTCTCAATCTTTAAACCCGGTAAAAAGAACATATATGAAATTACCTGATCGCGAAAAAGTATTTACCCTTTCCAAATATGAACATTTCCACATATAAAATAAATAAAATATCCAAAAACTTTTACCTCTAAATCATCTATTACATTATACATGTCACCAACCAACGAATTCATACCGCAAGCATTACAAATACTTAGTATCAAATATTTAAATTATTTCCATGCACGTTTACTTCAACTAAAACGTATACCAAATTCCTACAAACATAAAATTCACAAAATAACTATCATTTAATTAAAAATATAATTAAATTCAAAAACACTACTTAAAATATAAATGAGCACATACATTAAATTAATACATACATAAATACCCATTTTGAATTCACTTTAGTTACGGCCATGGGATCCAAAAATTCACGAATACTGTTTCACACAACACAGAATAAAGCCAAATACAAAATTTCCAGATTTTTTCCTGATTTCCTCCCTTTACCGATTAAAGAACCGTAATTCGTCCATTAATATCACATGACATATCCCATGATCTCTCATTTCCCTCACACAAAATAATGCGTAATCGGAACTGAGTACTGCTCACATTATTACCAAAGTCCCAGGTAGTAACCTTTATCACCTCCAAAATGTCGCCAAACTACCAGTTACCATATTGTAAAGATCAACCAAAAAAAATTAAGGACTTTTAAGGACTCTTAAGGACCATACGAACCCTGCTTCCCTAATGACCAAGAGAGTTGATCGTGGCCTGCTACTTCATAATGACCTGTAGTTGCACAAATCTTGATGCAGACGTACAAACAGTGTTGTGGTTGATATCTCTTGGGGAAGCGTTCTCGATAAGTGGCTTGTCCATTACCCTCAGCTATTCCATACCCTAAGTTTTCAAAAGTTTTTTTGTACAGGGCATGTTTGGAAACTCGTATACTTACTACTCGTATAAACTTGTTCGTATAGCATAATGCCTACAGTTCGAATGAGGCAATCTCCTGTACAGCACCTCATGGCGGCATACAATGGCATTTTTGGGCAAGTGTTCCTGAACAATTCTTAATCCTTATGATATGCCTCACCTCTCCCGGAAGTTTTCCCAACATTTATGACACACCCTGTATATGAAATTTTAAATAAGGAACTAAATGAAGCAATTTATTTCATACAGCAAAACTAAAATATTTAAGATTCTAAGTTTGTACTATAGCTTTTTGAACAGCTACATATATAAGTATTTAATATTTTGACATCAAAATGAAATTCTGAATTTGCTGATATGTTTAAAATGATCACTGAAACAAGTCTTAACTTTTTAAATGTCTGAAGGCAATAAACATGCTATATACATGAACTAGAAACACCCAATTATAGGTAAATTAAATCTCCAATCCATTTAAGCAAAACAATTTCAATGGACAAGTTTGAATTAACATTTGCAAACGTATGCTGATTTTATTTATGAAGATGAATTAATGAAAGTAATTAAATACGAGAATTTCTCACCATATTAAGCACTAGCTGTAAATAATTAAAATACATGACTGAATTTATATATAAAATAAGCTATAGCTTACTCTTAACACGTTGACTACCATAGCACTTTTCGGATTCCAGTCCGAGAATCCAAATTGATTTAATCATATTATATTATTAAAAATACAAATTATGATTCGCAACAACCATTAAAAAAGTTAACAGGATTTTTTTTTTTTTTTTTTTTTTTTTTTTACAAAAAGGATCCTACAAATTATCTCTTAATCAGCTTTTGTTAAACAAAGCTCTTCGCAGAAACCCACTAAGAGTCTATTCGTACAGACACGCTTCGACTTGTCGCCTGGGTACAGCTAAAACGAGTGCTAAGCGAGTTAAGTAACTCCTAGCGATGCAAAAGTGACAAGTCAAGAAACTACGAGATAACTCATATCGGGTGTCCTGAAGAAGAGCAGTGCTAATACGAGTTATCTCGTGTTGGGCAGTCAACGTGTTAAACAGTGTCTCAATACACTGATGTGCAGTAAAACTCCATGGGATGTTGTGAATTTTAAAAGACATTTCTTGCTATTTAGAAAATCTTTACATAGTTTCAAAACTCTGCATAGCATTTAATTCTGAGACAGGCTATTCCAAATCCTCACCACCTCCATAGAACGTTTAGCCAGTTCTTTTTGCCCTTCTGCAGTAACCAAGATAAGAGAAACAGGAAACGATGACAACTTATCCTTTTAGAAATGTTATACAGCACTAATACATCCCGTTTGATTGTAAACTAATAAGATTCATAACAATATAAAAGAAAATAAATGAATAAATAGAATAAATACATATACATATATGAGATCTCTCCAATATATAAAATAGTACTTACGCTATATATAGCATAAACTAGTAAGTAGCTATATAAATTAGAACTTTGCTACAGTACTATATACGGTACATAAGCACATAAAAAATTCAACATTTTAAGTGCGAAACAATACTGAATTATGAAATTTAAAGTAAATTTTCATAATTTTTAATAAGTACTTCTATTTGACCATTTGAAAGTCATCTTCAATTCATTAAACAAATTCAGCTAAGTCATGAAGGAAAAATTAACATATTTACCATTTGTATTATCCCCAAACTCATGAATATGGAATCCATGCAGGCCTTTCGAAAGTGGAGAAATTTCACCAGTTATTACAACAGGGCTATCAGGAGACTAAAAATTAGACATTACATTATATTAAACGATAAAAAACTGAAAAAAGGAATGGTAGATTTTAAAAGAAAACTTAATTTCCAAATGCAGCACAGCTGTTTTTAATAATTTTTTTTATACGTTAGGAATATTCTACTAATAATTGGTAAGGAATTTAACTGCTAAATATCTAATCTATGCAGTAACAAAACAAGTTAATATTTGAATTTAACAGCATGTAACAATGATAACTTAAAATACGTTTTCCTTTCTCCGCAAAGTAAAGGTATTCCATTCTCAGACACACGCAGGAACATAAGAAGTAATATAGGAGGATAAGGAAGAACGTAAGTTTATGATTTTGATACAACGCATAATACAAAATTACCTCTTGAGTAAAGTGCACAGTGCCCTTTACTTTTTCTCCAACTAAAACACACACTGCTTTCATATTTGATAAAATTTTTGCAGAAATAGGCAGATACTACACTATTTATCGAGAAATTAAGGCGAGAAGCACGTTCTTGTTATCTTCGAACACTTACAGAACAGGAAGAAGGAAGACTCCCCTTATTGGATGAATGACGACCGCCGAATAGATTACATAATCAAAATCTGCCGGTTAGGAAGCGCCAAGGTTCTTTAATATTAATAGGAAGCGCTTATAACCTCTTAGGTTTTGGGCCAAAATATGGACAAAGCCGGTTAGGAAATACACGCAGATTCGCACATGTACTTTAATTATTCGTATATTTTGTTTTTATTCATCATAAAACAGTTTTTAGCATTACTATAAATATGCTTTATTGAGTTACTTTTTCTGTCATTTGTGAGCATAGTAGCATACATATATATAATTAATTCATATACGGAAAGTTTAAGAGTGTGTTTAATATTTCATTAAATGGATGATAATTATGGCCATTAATAATAATGATAATAATAAATCTTGCACAATAGCAAAGTTAAGACTGAAAAGTCATACTTAAAAGCATCTAAATACCAAAAGAATTGATAAATTGTCTTCTGAATATCTCAGACATTTTATCTATAAGAATACCTATATATCTATAAGACTTAATATTTTTATAAGTTAATATTGGAATTTAGCAGCCTTGCGAACTGGAGACGAGAAACGCGATTCTAATAATTATTAAGCTAGTTAAGAGTGGCAACACAAAATAAGAATAACATATGAGGTGGCAACTGCTAATCCAAATAGTTTTGATTTGTAATTGGTTTCCCTTTGTATAATTTTTCTATTTCTGTTGTTATTATATTATAAATTCACTGTTAAAAGTAGCAAATCATGCCGAAGAATAAGGGTTAGTATTGAATTAAAAAAAAATTTTTGGGGTCGTTTCCTAATGCGTAGTTTTCCCTCTTTAAAAATTTCCATTTTAATATTTTTTTTATTTTATGAAATAAATTGAAATTGCTTGTATGAAAACAAGTGTTCTGAAATTATGTAGTATTTCTTTAGGAAAACGGATTTGAAAATATTTGGCATGCTTAAATTTGTAAAAACGTTTTAGTGAAAAGCAGTTGTCAGTCATCCATGAGTATGTAGTTAAAAATAATAAAAGGTATATTTTATAGTATAATATAATATAACATAAGAACACTGATGAAATTTCACACTCATTAAGTCAAGGGACAAAAGTATTGATATAGTTTAAAATAAACTTGTACTGTAGTTAATACTTTGTTGTGAAACCGTGGTTCTTAATTATAGATGTATCTCTGCTTTAGCATAACGGGTTTAAGTTTTAGGGCTGTTTAAAATGAAGATTTCTCTCAGTTTTTTAGAAGGTTTTTTGGGTTTTCATCCGCAGAGAACCCGTTGGCGCCGTTGCATTTTTACTCGCCAAGCTCGCCGTTCATTGACGATTAGCCGATCCGTAAACATGATATTTTGTAAACGTGATTTTTAGTGCATGTAAATTCAAATTAGCAGACAAAACAATATATTAAGCATATGGTAGTAAAAATTCACAGATAATAAGCATGTAGATGTAAAACTAACCGGTTAAAAACGTGATATACGAAAATAAATGTGTATTAAATTCAAGTTAGCACACAGAAAAGAATATATTAAGCATAAGACAATATATAAGGATTTATAACGGAAATAAAAATTTATTTAAAATATAAATTAGTATTAATACTGAAATTAACCGGTTAAGCGTGATATACGAAAAAATTTGTCATAAATTCCAGTTAACACAGAAAACAATATATTCCTTACACACCAGCAGTGGTTTGCTAATTTTTGATGACCATGGGTGATGCATCAAAACTATCCTGACATCTTAGATAATCAATATTTTTTTATTTCAATTTAATCATTTATTTATGTCACACCTGCCATCCTCTGAAAAGTTATTGTTAGAAAAGTATTAACAATATGTTATGTTGTTAAAAATTTTACTCCATAAAAATTGATTTATTCTCATAATTTTAGATGACAATAACCAATATAAAAATAAAAGCATTACTTAATTATTTAAAATGCACATGCACATTTTTTTCGGTCTACGAAATCAAATTATTTTAGACTCATGGTTCTTAGAGCTGTTAATAATTAAGAATACAACGTGAACAGCCGTGTTACAAATTAGCATTCACCTCTCCTTTCACCACCCCGAACCGAGAACCGGCATCTATCGACGAAAATGTCTTTAATTATACGAAAAATATTTCTATCTATTAGTTGTTAAAAAATTCAGAAAAATAATAATAAATAAGAGAAGAATAATTATAAATTTCTGCAAATACGAACAACGACAGTCTTAATTCAACAAAATGAAACGCAAGAGAAATGGTTGCAACCTTCAGAACAAGCGAATAGGGACGAATCCGATAGGTTACCAGGTTTGAACTATTATCGCCAATGTTGGCGATGTTTACATTTACCGGGTTCTCTGCGGAAGTGCTTCAGGTTTTTTAATTGGTCTCAAGATCAATATGAATTCTATCATCAACTTCTTTGGATACCTATTTTGTCCTGTAATTTTCCCTCTAGCTTTCTGGCAGTAGGTTCTGAAAATTAAAAAAATATTTCCCTAATGTTCTCTGTTATGCATTGTTTCCCTTCTGAAGGCTAGTTTATTGGTAAATTATATTCCCATGATTATTTTTATTTCAGTGTATTTAATTCATATTTGCATTTTTGGGTAAAAGTATAGTTTAGGGTACCCCTTGGTGATTTTTGGCGGTACATGGATACCGATTTTGTGCAATTCTTTGACTCGTTATTTTGGCTTGTGAAGCGCCGATTTTTGAGCCCAAAATCGCCACTATACAAAGCCAAAATAACAAGACAAACAATTGCACAAACTCGGTATCCATGTACACATGGACTTATTTTCACTTAAAAAAACCCCCGAATTGCACAAAAATGACATTGTGCTCTCCTTTGACTTTATCTATCTACACGTCAACCTACTTTCACTTAAAAAAAAAAATCCGAGAATTGCACAAACATGCATTGCGTGATTTACGTTGTCCATGTACACATTGATATATTTTCACTTAAAAAGTCAAAGGGGCACTAAAGTCTACAATATAGGCAAACAAAAAAATACATAATCTCAATAAAATACATTTTAAACCAAACAATAACAAAAAAGGAAAAACATATTATACATTTAAGCACTACCAAAAGCAAATATTCATTTACCATGATTTTCGAGTTCGCTTCGTACACCCAGAGCCACGTAAAAATCAAAATATCAATCATACTCGAATGACTTTTTTCAAACCAGGTACTCTTTCTGATCGAACACTTCACATAGTAACCATTTGAACCTTTCTTCCTACAAACCCATTCAAATCCATCTAAACGGTTTTAACACCACAAAATGCTTACAAAACATCCCATTATTCAAAATTTACCAAAATCATGCACCCGATTATGTCGCGATAGGGTTTCCATAGCATTCAACTACTCAGGCTACCATAAATGAAACAACAACTTGGCGATAAATCAAACAACAACTTCGCAATAATACAAGGGGTACCTTAAAGTCTACTCTACCCACATTTTTGTATTAATATTTCATCCATTTTATTTTTTCTTGCCTTTATTATTTTAAATATATTTTGTGCAAATTATTAAATTACCAAGATGTGGTAAATGTTCTCTCACACTTAACGTGATTTCACTATTTCTGTTAAATAAGTACCTGCTGACTGTAGCTTTATCTACTGTTGATGTATTTGATCTTTTGAAATCCAGGTCTTTTGTTTGCCCTTCTTTTTCCTTCCTCCAGTGTTCTCCTTGGGAACTGTAGTCAAGACTCATTCATGTGAGGTGCTAGTAGAGTTTTACAAAGTAATTGAGCCGAGTACATTATGCAGCCGGGCACACTGTCAAGATTGTTTTAAATGGGGTCGTAAAAGAGTCCTTTATAGTGTAACAATAATTTATTAACGGGTTTAAGTTACACATGAACATCATATTTAATTTTAAGAATATTACAGAGTGATAGTCATACAACTTAATAGGTTCATCACTTGGCTTTTACTGAGGAGTAAAAATATAACTGTGGGCGCCCCTTGGTGAAAATTACCAATTTTTGGCGATAAAAGGACACCAAGATTGTACAATTCTTTGACTTGTTATTTTGGCTTTGTGTAGTGCTAATTTTTGCACCAAAAATCGCCGTTACACAAAGCAGAAATAAGTAAAAGAATTGCACAAACTCTATCCATGTATAAATCAACCTATTTTCAGTTCAGAAAAAATCAGAATTGTGCAAACTTGGCATTGCACACTCCCTTGACTATGTCCATGTATACATCGATTTATTTTCACTTAAAAAGTAAAAAAAAAAGCTAATTCTACACTAGAGCCTAACAAAAATATCCAATCTCAGTAAACTCCATTTTAAATCGAACATTGAAATAACATAAAATAAATTAATCGTAGCACTACACAAAGCAAATATCCATTTTCATTAATTAGAAATTTCCATGTCTTCAGTCAAACAAAATTCCTTAACAGCATCCAAAAAAATTTCTAAAATTATCTGAACTAGAATCTATATACTGACGTCGCTACATAAATTCACAAAAATAAGAGTAAAAAATATCCTCCTGACATTCAACCAAACACATTTCCTTTGTGCAGACAGGACACTTATAATGGCTACTAAGTAAACCTTCATTTACTCACCAGTCAATTAATACTTTTTTCGCTTTCATTCCAAATTGTACAGAAATTCGAATTCATCTTACCGCATTCAGCCATTTTACCATGTAAATCACAAAATAACCAACATCTAGCACACAAACAAGCCTTACAAATCTTTTCTCGTCATTCAAATTCACCGCAATCACGCAAAAAATGACATTATAATAGGGTTTCCATAGCATTCAACTACTCAGGTTACCATAAACGAAACAACAACTTAGCGATAATTCAAGGGGCACCCTTAAATATACTCTTAACCTACTGAAGTATTTGTCTGGCTGCTCACCTAATGGCACCCTCGTTGATAGAGGCAGTCCAATATAGTTTATATTAACAGTTTATATTAACAGCAGTGTTTATATTGAAGGATTGTTACAATCTCCCCCTCTAGCTCTGCCAACGTCTTGGCAAGGAGACATAATTGGAAGATTTGGGAGCTCTTGTAATATTGTCTCTAGTGTCAGGTATTTTGGTTTCCTGGGCAAGCACCATCCAGAACTCAAGTTCTTTAGTTCTCTTTGAAGCACTGTCAGGAACCTTGAATTCTTGATTAGTTTGGGAATGCAAAGTAACTTTTAGCATGGGAGAAAAGCACGTTTTTGAAAGGTGTCATTGCAGACAAATGGTACGTCTGTAAGAGTTCTGATGATTTATCATGGCTTGATATGAAATAGGAAGTAGGTTTCTGTGTCATTACTAAGTATGTTCCATCACGCTTTGATATGAACAGTGTTTGTACCATCCTTAAAAGCCCTTAGATTTTTTGGAATCAATTTTTGGTCCTTAAAAGTCCTTAATTTTGGCCAAAATTGGTAGAAGGTCCTTAATTTTAATAATCTGAAATTTCTCTCTATTTTTACGACTGTCATTTTGAGTGTAAATTAGCATTTTGGAGGAATATTTTTGGCGATTCACTGACATATATGGTTATCTTTTGAATGGGTTTATGGGTTATAATTTGTTCCTATTTCTAATATAAATAAATGGTGGGATACTCGAGTTTCTAAGCAAGAAGTGAAACATAAAGCATTTCGAAATTCATTTTTTCTAATAAAGAGCTCTTAAACAACTTTTTGCTTTTGGGCATGTTAATTCTTTTATTAAACGGTTCTAAATTTGACAACTTAT